AACCGTGTAATACCTATTAACAGATAAGGCATGCTGACATGCACGTTTACTAAACAGTATAAGTGTCCGAATAATTATGACTAAATATCATGTTATGTATTCTTACACCATTTATAATTTGAAAATCAGGGTAACAATGATTAATATTTACTCAATGCGGTGTAATATCAACAATATAAATGAATACAAAACCACAGGGAAATATTGTGTATCACTCGCATCTATACATCATGGCTCGAATCTTTTATTAAAGCAAATCCAAATCCAGATTCGATTCATATTTAAATAATATAACAATAGTATTCATTTGAAAATGCCGTTAAACTCCAGGATGACAAAAAAACCCAATAATTCAAATCGCCAATCCTTGATCTAGGCTGACATAACCTAAATACAAAATTCAAAACTAGAAAAAAAAGAAAGGATTAGCATAAGTTGCCAGAACAGGAAACATGTATCGACCACCGACTATATAAATTTCGCTTCTCGTAATCAATGTTAATGACTTTAGCAAAATTCAATTTTCATCGTTTTTAGATTCAGATTTTAAAACAAATCTCCGAAGCAGAAGCTCCTCGGTCCATAACTTAAGAAAATACAAAATCATTGATCTATTGAAAGAAGTTGCTATGCCAAAAGATCTTATGCTGCCGATATTCATCTTGTTAAATCACAGTTATTGTTTTGTATATACACTGAAATGATTATATACACAAAAATAGCCCAAGCAAATATCTTCTCTTATAGTTATGCCTTGCGACATTATTAATTACGATTGTTACAGAATGCAAGTGGTTTTGACCAATCACACACTTCATTGGAATTATCAACTGAAATTGGTCTCGTTTGAAGTTTAATTTAATACCAAAAGTGACCAAATACCTAACAAAAATAAAACATGTGTCTTATTGAAACGCGTAATAACTGAATATATTAATCAATATACGAGTTATGAATTATTGACGAACTTACGTCATGACGTGTTCATTTTTTATCTGCCGAGGCCACATGTGTTTCTTGTATAGATTCAGCTAGCGAATTTCTTAATAACCACATATTGAAAATGTCAATAATAAAGGTTGAGCCAGATGGTGCTACACTATAGAGCTGACGATATTATCTGAACGCTGAGGTTAAGTTTTATTTACTTTCATACATATGCAAATTAAATTTAATGTGATGTATAATTCTTTTTTGTATCATTTTGGTAATAACAGATTGCAATGCTGCATTTTATGACTAATTATTATCATATAATGCACTGTGTATATATACAGCCCGGTCAGGGAAATGTTGGTTATACGAGTCACCTGTTATTTTAGGTCCCAGAACCGAAACAACCATGATATCTTAAAAAAAACAATCCAGCTCCAGTAAAATACCCCACTATTTTAATTCATACAGCCGTCTGTGTTTTTTGTAAAATGCGTTTTCAGTATTATATTATGCGCACCATTCACCAAATAACAACGGGGTCATTCTGGATACTTTTATAAAATGCTATTGATGGTTTTATTCTTCAATCTGTCAATGTTACTCAGTAATAATTGACCTACATTGAATGATCAGAAAAATACACGCCAGTCACTAATTGATTCATTCATTCATTGACGTCCTCATTCATAAAGTTTTGATCAGATATTATATTACTTTTTTATTACAGTGACGTGTTTATTGGTAAAGGTGGTCTGCATTATTAACATAACTTATATACTTAAAGTATACAAACAACATTCTTTAAACTTTATTGATATATATGTTAAAGGTGAATATTAAATGACTATACTATCATAGCTTTTTAAAGAGGGTATATGGGACAGAACAAAAGTAAAATGTGAAGAATTATGATTTGAAAAAGAACGACGTGTCTTATTTGGCGTTGTTATGTCTACTTGCAATCTGTTTTACAGAGGATTACGAAAGTCTTCTAATATCTCTGTTAAAGATGACTGTCATCAATACGTGACGTCACAGAACGTGGCGCCAATCATTGGCTCGATTGCGCGTGCATTGTTTACATAAGACGTTACTGATCCGGGCAGAATGGTTCTGTATACTTATTTTACACTAAATAGAAAATAACTTCAAACGTCTTTATTTTTCTGATACATATAAAAATGTTTTAGATTTTAATTTGTCGGAGAGAAATAGTTAATATTTAAGACTCATTAAATCGCCTCGATGTCATCCTTATCAGTGATTGTAGCGACCTAGCGAATATTCACTGCTGATCAGTGTGGTCTACTTGTTATCCTTCGGTTTATTTTGTTTAATTTTGCTAACTCATAATGTCACACAAATGCCGCTTATTTCGATTTTCAACTAAAAGAAAATCTAGAACGCCGTTTCCTACCAGCCAGAACTGGTTCAATACACTTATATTAGTACAATTTTCTTCTTGCTCTTGTGGTGACGCTATAATTTGGACTTCCTGGATTATTGCCCCTGATTGGACGAAAATCGTGGTATCACTTTGTATCTAATGATAATACATTTATATGCCCTAACACGAACCGTTTCGAAGACATAGAGGCCAGAAAGTTCAATTGGGGGCCATCTTGGATTTATGATAATTATGAAAAACGCTACAGGGTTTCAGCGGACAATTCCATTGAAAGAAATTCTTTTGCAATTTGTTTTCGGTAGTTTTTTTATATTTCTCCGTCTATACTGACAAATACCGCTTATTTCGATTTTCAGCTATAAGAAAATCTAGAACGCCGTTTCTTACAAGCTAGAACTGGTTCAATACACTTAGAACAATTTTCTTCTTGCTCTTGTGGTAACGCTATATATCGGACTTCCTGGATTATTGCCCCGGATTGGACGAAAATCGTGCACATAGCTTATTGACCCTCCAGGGGTTGCTATTTTTATTCTATTTTGAAATTACATGTACATGTATGCAAGATATAAAATGAATATATTGAAATTCTCTGATAAATTACTTTATTCGGAGTTAAGTTATGAGTGTTTGAAGTTTTGCCAAGCGAGTCTCAGTCGTCAAGTACCATGATCATGGACCTTATAATACATAATGTATTATAAGGTCCATGCTATGATAATAAACAAAGTCTCGATTATCCATTTTAACGTTAAATAATTAAAGGGCGTAGGAGTTGTAACCCATTCAATATCCCGGCAATCCGATTGTCTAGGGAGTTGCTTATGGTCTTGTCATGTGTAATGTGTATAAATGCCTAATTAATAATTTATATAAAATTTGAAGCAAAAAAAAAAAAAAAAAAAAAAAACTACAACAAACTTAGCTCTCACGAAATGCACCTTTAAAGTTGCATTATGTAAGATTTACAGTGCTCGCTGTAATAGTTTTAAAATAGATAATGAAAAATAAATATATTGAAAACTTCAGTCAAATTACTTCATTCTGAGAGGAGTTTTGAATGTTTGAAGAATAGCGTCGTCTCGATTTATTTCTTTGTTACGATGATAAACAAAGACTTGATTAGCTGTTATTAAATTAAGTTATTAAATGGCGGTCATGTTTCAATCCGTTCCAAATCACAATCATCCGATGGTCTAGAGACATGATTATGGATTTGTCATATGAATAAATGTCCAATTAATAATTTATAACAATTTGATGTCAAAAAATGATCTGCAAAAGGCAGATTTAGTTCTTACATAATGTATCTTTAACGTACAATCATTCAAGTAAATCTTTATTACGGATTGGTTCTATTTTCTAGGAAATCTGATCACTTCCAGTTAAAATGCCCCTCCCCCCCCCCCCCTTTATTCAAATAATGAATGCCATGCACACACCAAGGTTGAGAACCCCTCTAGAGGTTGCGATGTGAAATATTATGTGAAATATGTACGAAGATTGTTGCCCCCCTCCCCCTTACCCGTTCCCCCGAGGTCCCTATTTTAGGGGTTGCGCCTCCACGTGGATCCGTCAATAATACCCACTCATATAATTGTGTATCCCTTGGTTGTAACGCTCAGATGTCTCTTATAGAATAGCGGGACTTTGTTTCAATGTCGAGCATACAAATCAGTAGACTGAAATCTGATTCACCCTATGTAATCGTGCACTTTTTGTTGTACTCGTTTTAAACTATGTTATTTCATGTTTATACTGAATAAGAAAGAAAATTCATTGCGCATGTATAATAAGATGATATAATGTTATTCTATATAGGCTGCAGCATACACCATTAATAAAACATAAAGAGCTATGTTCAACGGAGCAGTCAACTTATAGATTTTAGTAGTCACCAAGAAGAACGATATTCATATTATTCAAATATGCAGAATCTTCCATATAGAATGGTAAGTATACTTGTTGTTCAGTATACTTACTTCATTATCATACTGTATAAATTGACCTTAATCGATTTTTCTTGGTAGAATGCAATTGTGATATAGACAAACTTTCGTTTCATTGGGATAAATTGACCAGGAGTGGATGTTTAAGGGACAGTGGCACCCCTCGTCTAACAATGGTTTAAATTGTCTTGCGCTGATGATTCAGTAATTAATACGATTTAATTTCCATTATAACATCTGATGACGCCTGATAAAGGGCAGACAGCTATCAGAATGAAGTAAAGTGTTTGCTTTTTTTTTTTTAACTGGACGTATTTTTTTTTATTTATTTATTATATATACAAAAATATTAGCACAGCCGTATCTGCACTACTTTGCTTCACGGTAAACGATGAAAAGATAAAAGGTATGCTGACACAAACTGCAAAAAAACCCAAACAAATACAAAACAATACAGCACCGCTTTGTCAAATAGATTTTCGTATATTAAAAAATGGAAAATTAGAGACGTCGGCCTACCATAGCCCCTTTAACTAATCTCTCTATCAATTCCGTATTTATTATATAAAGAGAAAAGCGACATAAAGCCAGACTGAATATATCTATAGAATATATATATATATATATATATATATAAAAACAACATCAAATACGTCAATAGGATTTTCTCATATTGACGATATTTTTTCTCTCCACCAAACAAAAAATAGTATTGTGTTAAATCGAACGAATATGAATAGGTAACATTTGTCACAGTCTAATGCAATGGCGGTGGCACAAAAGGCAATAATACTAGGTTTTTAAAGCTATAAAAGGTGGTTGCCTACCAAGACCGAAGACATACCAGAATAATCTACGGGTTTATCAAGGCTGTGTAAAATACGAATCTCGTCTAAGAATGTCTGTTAGTGGATTCTTTGTGAAATGTGTTGGGGAGGCTTATTGGTCTAAGGTTTGTTATATCTCTTGTTAAGACCTCTATTATACGTACAACACCCATACGTATTACTCCTGTCTCTTCATAGCATCTATGATAATAAATATACAATTCACCTTGTGCGACACCATCTGACAGCTTAGTTAATTAATATCCGTCGCTCGGACTATATATTTAAAGGTCGCCCGAGGGGCCACGCTCCCATAAAACTAAGTGCATCGAAGCAAAACGTTGATAGTAGTTCTGAGCTTAGGCATCTTGTTATCACACACGCAAACACACATTAGTTACTACCTGCGATTAGTTGGTGATTTTTTTTTTAACAAAAAGTATCGGAAGCGTTGTTGCTGTTGAACATTTTGGACCCAGAAAACTGAACATGGTTATGAAAGTAAGTAATTGTTTATTTATATAATATATCATATTTATGTTTAAATATCGGTATGTGACGGATGTTGGACTGTACAACTAGAGAACACGTGTATTGAAGCGGCTGCTATTGACAGTATTGTCATTGTTGAGATTAATGTCTGAGATTTCAAACAAATTTGACTTAAAATCATGTTCAGGAATACGACAGGCCTTCTATATATGAATTTAGTTCGATTTATTTAGAATGTTTTTGTTAAATAAAATCTAATTCAGTTTTGCCCGTGATTATGATGAATGAAAAAAACCTGTATAAATGACATGCATTTGGGTGTTGTCAGCATATATATTCGTAAGCTATCAATCCTATTACCTTTTAGGCGGATTTCGCAAAACAATTTTATCTTATATTTATCATTAATAACATTAATGTATCAATGATTACTTAATTGAATACTCAAAGAGGATACGTTTTAATTAAAAACCGCCGCAGATCTTGTAATTATATTTTCTTGATTGTACAGATTAAGTCTTCAAATTTTTAATCATACATTTGAATTACTTATTTAAATATATCAACAAAACATATCAAATAGGCTAAATCGAAGACTAATAATGATAGTTTGTGATCGCTAAGATTACATCTCTTAAAATTCTACCCGTTGGGCAATAGTATATGATAATATTTTGTATTGCCCTGTAGAATGCTTCTGTCAAATTAGCTATGCGATATTTGAATTTTTGACACAGATAAGAATAAACCTATACTTATTTAATACTTATGTCTTGCAATATAATATATTATGAATAGTTTATTCATATCAGTTGCTCTATTAGTAGTTTTTTTAAAGGTCCTATATGATTTCATGTATGATATTAGTTAAGTATTATTAATGGACACTGCTCAGTTTCTAAACTAATTCTGTTAACAACAGCTATATATTACAAAATAAAGGGGATTTATATGGGACATTACATTGTGCCAAATTATAAAAATGGTCAAAATAATGTGAACTTCCCAAAATAACGCGAATTTAAAAAAAAAATGTTTAATACCCGGAAATAAACCCAACAAAATATTTGATCTTTATTGAATCATGGACCAGCAATACTTGTGAATTTCCGGTGTGCGTTAACTTTCATAATCTTGGTTGAAAGTTCAATAGTAGGCTTGACCCCCCACTTATAATAATCGGGAGTCTCACTAGTTTAATAGCTATAGAATACAATAGGCCATTAATTACTCAGTAGGGCGAGAACAGACATACCTGTCACACCTGACGACAGAATCATACTCCAGTTCGGGTCATTTGAGATTTGAAAATGACGAAACACGCCTAGATTATTAACTACACATTTCTTGATATAATTATTTTGCCTAGTATACAAAGTGTCATGTGTGAATATGAGCTATGGCTCGGATGTTTTGACTGTTATAAGATATAGTTGACAGTTCCCTTTGTTGAAACGTTTAGAATTTGTCATCTGTCAAAGTATACACTTTTTACCACGTAAATAATATAGTTTAAAAAAGTATAAAAGATCGTCTTTACATCTCTTTATAAACTACACTAGATGAACTAATGGAGATGTCGCTTGAATAATAATTTCGTGACGAAAAAACCCCCAGACAGTTCGTTACCATTATGCTATTCTCTCAAAAAATAAAACACGATTATTATTCTATGAATTGCGGGGAAACTGGAAATCCGAGAGAAAACCGCTCAGGCACAAGCGTGGGGCCGTACTCCCGACTTTTTCATTGGTTATAGACATTTAGATCTAAAGTGTTGGACTACGCCTACCCCACCACACCTACCACAAAAGAAATTAGTATAATGAGGATTGAGGATTAGCGATAAATTCTAAATTACTCCACCCAACTGACTGACACGCACGGTGTAAGAAAATTAATTCAATCTAATTAAAATTAACATTTTCTAAATAAATGGTCCACAAGAATTTTGATGTAGAGCGAATAGCTTTAAGCTCAATATTTTAAAAACAAAAACGGTTTAGAATGAATATATTAAAACATATGATGATTGAATGCAGGCGGGTATGACAGCATTGAATACAGAAAGATGAATGTTTATTTTTATAATGTATATTATAGTAAACTATCTTAAAACATCATTAATCAAATGTGCATTGCAGTCAACCAGCACTAACAGATCCTGCCATCAGCCTATGTCGCGTTTCTTTTTTGTTTACGTTTTTTTTTTTTTGGGGGGGGGGGGGGTCGTCTTCCACATTTCTAATTTAAATAATTTAAAATCTAGAAGTCACAAGTAGACTATTATTGAATCTTTCGGATTATTAAATGACCACTTCCAGTACAATTTATAACGAAAATATATCAGGGCGGTCGGATGAGCACCCGACTTTCTGAAATGTTTAGTACAAGAACAACCCCTCTTTTCTATTAACTCTAAGTTCCAGGCTAAAGAACTCAAGTTTTGAAAAATCATTTCTTAAAAAAACCGACATGGTTATACACTTTACTTAAAAATTAAAAGGGTTTTGGAGTTTTAATTTTTGATTTGTGAATGTTTCGCAGTTTACCAATAAAAAATTCACCGAAATTTGCAAAGAGACCGTATAATATATAATGTTTCAATACTCTAATATCAATTCTATTAAAGCTCGAGGTAGTAAAACGCAAGTTGACATATTGTATTTATAAGGGAGATTTATGATGCAAACATCAAATGATCAATAATTGTGTATAAACAATCAGCTATACTAACATAGAATCTGTTGAAATTGAATATTGAGGATTTAAATAATTATTTCCATATGAATTATCAAATATGTACCTGGTGACAGCTAAATCAAATATTTATAAGGAATTATTGACTACCTTGTGCGTTTTTTTTTCTTTATCAGCAACTCTGTGGTGTAACATAGTATTTTATTCTTAAATTTCCCTTCCTTGTTTATTGTCGGATAGTTTTGCAACAGCATACCATACCATATCATAAAGGGGATATGTTAGGACAGGACAGGACAGGACAAGGCAGGATAGGATGGGATGGGATGGGATAGGATAGGATAGGATAGGATAGGATAGGATAGGTGATTCTGTTGAATAGGATATAATAGTATAACAAAAGCTGGTCAGTTATGTGTACTCCTCAATTGAGAAGTGATATCAGGTGTTCCAGAAAGAATAATCATACCCCGCTGACTAGCCTCACTAAGATAGGAGTTTAAAGTTTTGTTTCTTGTTGAACCAAAGTCATACCGCAGACTATCTCATTGAAATTCCGTTTTATATAATATTGCTATTTTTGGGTCCAATTTAAAGAAAACTGTAGGACAGAGCTCTAGGCCACTATGGTAAAGCTTTCCAACGGGTAAAGTGTCAAATGTTTTAACGTACACACTTGCTTAGAAAATTTTGCAGAACAACATGGCAAATAGAATGTGGAACTAGAGAACATGACGTACATGATTTATATAACTAATCATTATGAAAATATAATATTTTGTCATTCCGGTTGAGAACATTATGCGTTTTGTTAATCAATACTGATAAAATATACTATACACAGCAAAAAATGTTAAGACCCGCCGCCCCTGCCCCAAATAAAAGCTGAATTATCAGTATTGAAACCAAATTTCAATCCTCATGAAGGCAAATCAAAGAGTAGTATTTTGGTGATAAAATAAGGCGTTACTTATTATTGGAAAATGTCTCTCACAAACGCAGCCACATGCACGTGAATCCTCCCTGGCACACTGATCTACTTTATTTAAGGTGCTTTTACCGGGTGGCACACACCAAGACGATGAACTGAGGATACTTAAACACTCATGTCTTTTGGATGAAATTCCATTTCATTTTCACTCTGTGATTTCACGCACTTTTTGTGCTCATAAAGTTACAAAACAAAATAACCAAATGATTTTTCTTTTAATTAAAATTTGTTTTGCTTATCTTCTTTTTCTGAATTTCATACCATACTTCCATGAAGTTCAACCCTCTGTGAAAAATCAGGGGGTGTGGGGTGCTTAACATTTTTGTGCTGCGTACATTTGAAGTATACAAGACATAAGACATGAAATTAATGAAATGAAATGGGGCTTAATGGCCTACTGTTCTGCTCCGACTGGGCTAATGAAGACGGGCATACGCCATACAGTGTGCTATGCGGGAAATTTTGCCCGGGCAGCGGCACTATAGCCTACTCTTATATCGAATTCCAACCACCAACGGATCTTTTACGTACATGTCAATGTATACACGCTACCTCGGTTTTTCGTCCCACCCGAACGACTAGACAGCTGTCCTTGTCAGGCCCGCCCTTCTGCACCATTGACAAGGGAAAACCACGTCGGAAAATGACGATGAACTTTCTCGGACACCCGACCTCCAGGCTAGCGAGCCAGCGATATATATATATACTATTCAAAAAAAGTAGGGGATATTTGATTTTGGGGGCATAATACTAAAATATGCAAATGACTACGAAAAAAGTCACTATAGAACCTAACAGAAGAAACATTTCCAGTTACATGTGACGCCCAAACGCACCAATAGCTACCGCATGGAATGCAGGTGATGCTTGGGATCATCATGGGGGTCCAACCCAAGATTTGCACGACTCTGACTTTGAATGTTACAGTCATTGTGGCATTGAATTCCAGGGTGGAAACATCAGTTTAATTGTTTTAGTGACCAGAAAACAAATTTTGATATGCGTCGGCTTACCCAAAATGAAAGGTTACGTGCCCTTGGCATGCTACAGATCGGCACAACACAGGCGGTTGTGGCGCGGACGATGAATGTTTCTCAGTCTGTCATAAGCAGGCTATGGTCCAGATACCGTGATACACAATCTGTACAGGACAGACCACGCTCAGGTCGACAACTCAAGCCCAGGATCGATTTATCCGTACCTTGGCCTTGAGAAATCGTGTCATCACAGCAAATCAGATCAGCGCTCGTCTTCAAACAGACACTGGTGTGAGAGTGAGTGGCCAGACGATTCGGAATCGACTGCATAGGGGTCACCT